CCTATTTATAAAAATTTAAACAAATTTTACACATAACAGAATTTTGAGTGTAAAGTAATATTTACATTTTAAAAGATATACTGATTTTAGTGTCGTATTGAAATTGTGATGGAAAAAATGAGATTAAGAATAAAATTAAAAGATCGGACCAAAGTGGTCACATTTTTTAATGAAAAAAATTGAAAGTATATAAAGCAAAATAAATCAAAGCCGGAAGTAGAAGATATGAAAACTAGTATTTTAACCTAATAATTATTCTAAAATTATGGGACTAAATTAAAATTAAGCTGGCCAAATCCAATCTCTAGTCTAATAGATAATAAGGATTAGGAATATACCAAAATCATCTTTTTAGATTTGTCAGATCTTTTATGGCCGCAAGTTTTCTTACTACCATCATCATAAATTCATACTAGCATAATTAATATATTCTTTAGTACACCTTTTAAAAATACTTTAAAATAATAATGATAATATAGGTACAAATGACTAAATGAGATGTGAGAAATTTACAATTAATATATACATAAATTAAAAGAATGTCACATGGGAATAAAAAAGAAAAGCATTAGATTAATTGGATACAGCCAAAATATAAGAAGAAGAAGAATAAGTTGAGATTGTGATGTAGCAAAAGGGACCAGTTGATTAAGCAATTATATTTTGTGACAATTTTTGTCATGAAAATAATTTCAATAATTATTGAATTGGGAGTGCATGGTGAGTAGGACCTAATTTTGATTCTTTGATTTCTGTTTAACTTTACTGTCTTTCCTTTTATATGTGGATTTGATTCCTTCAGCTCTTGTCTTATTCTTGGACTTTTCTTTTCTTTATTGCTGCTTTTTCTCTCTTTGAAAAATCTTAATTCCACTTTTGATTACACTTGTTCAACCTAAAAAAGTTAATCATTTACTTAAGCTAGGGCTTAAACAAAGGTAAATGAATTAAATTATAACTGTGTGTCTTCTAATAATTGTAATAAAACTATACAAGCGATGATTAATCCATTGAATTTTYTGCTCAATCAAAAACTTTTACCATCATGCCATGTGACTTTTAACTAACACTTTTTGTTTCTACCATTTTTAATTGGATTCTTCTTTTACCTTGGTAACTTTTTTATATATAGTCTTCATATTTTCTTACTCAATCCCGACCATCACAATGAGAAATAAGCTTCTTCTCTCTGATTTACAAAAATATTTGGTCACCCATTATTTAATCTCATTAAATTTAACACGAAATCGTTACAACTTTTAAATTAAAAAAACTAAATTGTTACACATTTATAATTACGTGGGATCAAATTGTAAAAGTTAGATTGTTATTTCAATCAAATTACATCCTTTTATATTCAAAGTAATCTCCAAATAAATTAAACTTTTTTTTGCCCTTTTCTTATAATTCCTACCCGTTAAGCACTTGTTTCTCCATTTGGCAGCATTTGTACTGGTGGAGATGCCAACCAGACATAAAGCAGTCAAAGCGAAGAACTCAAATCATGTTACTTTAGAAAAATAACACCAATTTAATTAAAAGATGGTGTGAGTGGGGAGAGCTATTATAATTTATAAGTATATTAATTAGAGTGATCAAGTCTAATTAATTGGACTTTTCTACGATCTCTTATTAAAGTTAATATTATGATTCACAATGAAAGAGTTCAAATCTTAGAGAAATTGAAAGGGAAAGCTTGACCGCTATAAACCATATACTTCAATGAAAATTGAAAGGACTACTATTTATGAAAGAAAAAAAAAAACAGACATGCATATCTTTTTGTTCGAATCATCATCACCATCAATATTAACTTCAATCACCTAGCACACGTTTTGATCTTTTCATTATCATGGCTCTTCAACTTAGTTCCGCCAACCTAATAAACATTTGTTGGTCCTTAATTTTTACCCCTTTAATAACTTTAAACCCTAACTTGTAATATATTATAATTGAAATTCAAGATCAAATGATTTGGCTTTTCATTTGATCTTTTAAATCTTCACGATGTCAATTTTAAGTATAGACACTCTATCAATAAATAAGGGAAAAAAGAAAGAAATATTTATTGGTTATAACTCGTTATTGAATTTTGAAAGTATTTGGATTTTCTTTTCTTTGGTCTTTGAGATTTAAAAAGAAAAAAACACCACTTTAATTATATATATTTTTTTGTTAGCCAATTAAAAATAAGTCGAAGAAAGTGTATTAGAATGCATGGAAGAGGGAGGGAGAGAGAGTGGGTTAGTTTCAGGCTTTTACGGCATTTCACACGTTCGATCTTGGGATTTGAAATGCCATCAGAATATGGAAACGGCACTCCATCTTCCTCCAAAATAGAGACAATTTTATTTTACCTTGCTTACCCCTCGCGACGTAACTATTATAAAAAGAATCTAAAATTTGAATGTTTTTTTGTTTTTTTWWTTTWWTTTTKGGGGGATTGAAATTTATGCACGTTGTGACAGGAAGTGAGCCACATCATAAAGATATTGTCAACGATGGCGGCTTTTATGTTTCCGTGCGTTACCGACTTCTTCCGATGTGGACCCCACATTATTCTCCGCCTTCACACTACACACGCTCTCATTCTCAATTTAGATCCTCAATTTCTCATTTCTCATCTATTATATTTTTACTCTTCTTCTACTTTCATTTGTCTCATTTTTTGTTAATTTTACTCGCTCTTGTTGTTCTCTTCCCATTAATTTCTATATTAAAAAGAGACATTTTGTTTAAATATTCACTAATTATGTGTACTTTATTTTAATGTCTTTCCCAAATGAAAAGATAAGAAAAAAGAATCTAGCTATATATGAAGACCCATTAAGGTTTTTTTTTTTTTTTTCCTTTTGTATGTTTAGATTTTTATTTGATTATTAATATCGGGAAGTTGAAGTATAATTGAAATATCTTTATGAGATATATTATGTCTATTAAAAAAATTAAAAATTCTTGTGAGCAATTGATTAAAGTATATATCAAAAGATTTGAATTTTCATTTACTAGTTGAACAAAACACGAAAAAAAAGTCAAAAATTAAAGATTGAAAGTGGAACACTCTTTATTGGTTAGCAATTAGGATAAATTTATTTTCTTTAGTAATATTTTAATGGGCTAAGTGACACCTGTTTTATGGAACATTAGTTCTAAAGTCACTCAAAGGCAGAAGTTGGTCTAATAAATGAGTCAAACCACCAAGGAAATATATAATGCACTATGGTCGTGGAGCTGTGGATTTTTGAAAAAGAATTTGTATTATTTTTATTAATTAATCACTTTATATATATATACACACATAAGCGATTAATCATAATTCATTTGACAAAATATGCTACATGTCAAAAATTTAAAAAAGGTTTGATTAGTTAATTACTATTGATAAAGACAAATAATAAGCTAGTTCAATTAATTAATTCATAAGGATGAAGGTTTGAATTCCCTAACTCCATCTTGAAGTGTTAAACAACCTAAAAACAATGAAATATCTGTAGAATTTTTCTGTTAAAAAAAAAAAAAGGAAAAACCCTATGCTTTTGCAAAATTATTCACAAAGTTTGGTACAACTTAGTGTCATTAATTAATTGATAAGAAAAATATTATTTCACAAAAAAAATGATGATAAAAGACTTTTCAAACGAATGGATAAGATTCAATTTTAAAATCAGTGTTGTTTGCCCCAGAGTCATACTTAATAGCTGCCCTGCGCAAATTACATCAATTTTTTTCAAATAATAGAAAAAAAGAATATTGCACTTGACACAAGCTCAACAAAATAAAACGAAAAATTAGGGAAGCAAATAAACGATGTGGTGCGATAAGGATGTAGAAAAGTAGAGGAAAAAAGATATCTAACACTATAACCAAATATAGTGACGTGTCATGTTAGAAAAATAGTTAAAATATAATTTTGGTAGCTAACTTTAACTATATTCTTCTTGATTCTTAAACTTTTAGAATTTTGATTTGAAATATTCGTCATTTTCTATTAAATTTTATGCTTTTTTAGAGTAATATTATATATCATTTATAACTTTTTTTATAGCATAGTTTAATGGTGAAGATGTATGGTTAGATATCTAATATATGAATTAAATTTATCTAATCCATGAACTTAAACGTTTGGATTGAGTGGTGGTTTATTCATCCTTAAAATTCTAACACATATTGTTCTCCTCTTGAAGTTATTAGTTAACTTTCTATTTGTTGTACCAAAGTGATCAAAGATGATGAGATACATAAGAACTCTCAACAAAAGAAAAAAACATAATAGTCTCTTAACCATGTAACTTAACTATTTAATTAATAATTAAAGTTAGCCAAGTAAAACTTACCTAGTTTACTCAAGAGTAATTGACATATATCTCAAACCAAAAAGGTTATAARTTCGATTCCCACCCTTATATATTGTATTACAAAAAAACCTAGCTCATACTTATAATATATACCTTTAATGAGATAAGATATCTCCTATATCTAATTTAAAACTAACAATAAGATTAACAACAAAAAAAAAAAAAGAGAAGAAGATTAAGACAAAAAACAAGTTGAGTAGTATTTAAGAACTTGGCCAAAATAGAAGAAAAAGTTAGAAAATTTAAACACTAAAATAAAAAATCATCTAAGTTAGGACCATAAATTTCAAGGTAGAAACGTTTTTAATAAAATTTTGAACGGGTTTGTTTATTTAACCCAATATTGAAAGAAATTCTAAAATGTCCTAAATAAATTTTATGCCTAATTAAGTCTCTACAACTAACTTAGTAATACCATCAAATAAATAAGTAAAACTATCTATAGAGATATTAAACATAAAATTTAATATTTGGAAAATAAATATAATATTCAAAGTTTAAAGACTTATTAATAACTTCGATGGAGTATTAAAATAAATTTTATAATTTAATCAACTGCCACTAAAGTCCCACATTGACCCAATAAAAAATGATTATGAATTTATAAGTGAGAGACAATATCTCCGGCGTGAGGTTTTTCAAATGAAATCAAAAGTAAGTATGTGAAAATTACGTCAAAGGTAACAATATCATCTGATAGAGATGCTGAGTAGCTCAGATGACGTGGAACCTGAGAAAAGTGCCACGTAAGGACGCTTAAACTTTACCCAAGTGGTAAGTTGAGGAAGCCTCGCTCCTCATTCCCYGTTGGGTGCTGTTAAATACAGAGTTTGTATCCAATTTCGTGGAAGCCACGGAGAGTGCAGAAGCATACAAAAGTTGTTCTAGAAAACATAACATTCACCCCAATCCACTTCTACCTTTTTGGTCGTTTTCCCTTCTTAATTCTTCTCCCTTCTAATCCCAATTACTATACCAAATTAATAACCTTTTTCACTCACTGGGCCACCGTTTTGGGCATTTCTCATGCTCTCACACACTTCAAAAATGCCTTAAAAAACTCTTGTTTTCTTCTTCCCACTCCAAGCAAAACTCCGGCGGAGAGACCCTCCCAACGACATGTCGTCTCTGCATTTTCTCTGCCTCCTCTCTCTCCTCACCTTACTCTCTGGAGTCAACTCCGACGAGCGTCAACTTCTGACCAAACTCAAATCCGCTCTCCAAAATCCATCCACCAACGTTTTCAACACCTGGGAATCGGAAATTTCCCTCTGCAATTTCACCGGAATCGCCTGTAATTCCGATGGCTTCGTCGCCGAAATCGACCTCTCCAGACAGAGATTGTCAGGGGTCGTTCCTTTTGATTCGATTTGTCAGCTGCAGTCATTGGAGAAGCTGGCTCTTGGGTTCAATTCCTTGCACGGTGAAGCCACGGAGGATCTGAACAATTGTGTGAAATTGAAGTACCTGGATCTGGGAAACAATTTCTTCTCCGGCTCCTTCCCCGACGTGCATTCTCTGAGCCAATTACAGTATCTGTATTTGAATACAAGTGGGTTTTCCGGGAAGTTCCCGTGGAAATCCGTCGGGAATTTGACCGGATTGGTTCAGCTCAGCCTTGGAGATAACGCTTTCGACAACACTTCGTTTCCGGTTGAGGTCACAAATCTGAAGAACCTCAATTGGCTTTACTTGTCCAACTGCAGCTTAACAGGGGAAATTCCAAGGTCTATAGGTAATCTCACTCAACTTCGTAATTTGGAGTTTTCCGAGAATTATATAACGGGGACTATTCCGGCGGAGATTGGGAACCTTCGAAATCTATGGCAGTTGGAATTCTACGGCAATCAATTGACGGGAAAACTTCCGGTGGGATTAAGAAATCTAACCAGTCTTACGAATTTTGACGCTTCGATGAATCATCTTCAAGGGGATCTCTCGGAGCTGAGGTTTTTAAACGGCCTGGTTTCTCTGCAACTTTTTGACAACCAAATTTCCGGCCAGGTCCCGGCGGAGTTCGGTGAATTCAAGTCGCTGACGAATCTCTCCCTCTACAACAACAGGCTTACGGGTCCTCTTCCGCAATCGCTTGGTTCTTGGACGGCGTTCAATTATATCGATGTCTCTGAAAATCAATTGACGGGCACAATTCCTCCCGATATGTGCAAGCAGCGGACGATGCAGAAGCTACTCATTCTGCAGAACAATTTCTCCGGTGAGATTCCGGCGACCTACGCTAATTGCTCCACTTTGACCAGATTCAGAGTAAGCCAGAACTCGCTCACCGGCGTCGTTCCGTCCGGGATTTGGGGATTACCGAAAGTGAATATAATCGATCTCGCGTCGAATCAATTGGAAGGTTCGATTACTTCCGATATAGCGAAGGCGGTGGCTCTCTCGGAATTGTACGTCGGAAACAATCTTTTATCTGGACGGTTGCCATTGGAGATATCGCAAGCTAAATCTCTCGCTTCGGTCGACCTGAGAAATAATAATTTCTCCGACGAAATTCCGACGACGATTGGCGACCTGAAGGATCTAGATAGCCTCGAATTTCAGGGGAATAAATTCTCCGGTTCGATTCCAGAGACGATTGGCTCGTGTAGTTCCCTGAGTATCGTCAATCTCGCGGAGAATTTCTTCTCCGGCGAAATCCCTTCGTCTCTAGGGTTTCTTCCCGTTCTGAACTCTCTGAATCTCTCCAATAACGGCCTCTCCGGTGAAATCCCCTCAACTCTTTCACATCTGAAGCTAAGTCTCCTCGATCTTTCCAACAATCAATTAACCGGCGTGGTACCTTCATCGCTCTCGATCGGAGCTTACCAGGAAAGCTTCGCCGGAAACCCCGGCCTCTGCAGCGACGTCGATGGCTTCTTACGACGATGCTCACAGAGTTCCGGCGTGTCCAAGGACGTCCGTACACTCGTCATCTGTTTCGCCGTGGGTTTACTTCTTCTATGCGTGACGCTATGGTGCTTCGTAACATTGAAAAAGAGGCAAAAAGATCGAAACCGGTCGCTAAAAGAGGAATCGTGGGACCTGAAATCCTTCCACGTAATGAGCTTCACAGAGGACGAGATCCTGGATTCCATTAAAGACGAGAATCTAATCGGAAAAGGAGGTTCTGGCAGCGTTTACAAAGTTACAGTCGGAAACGGGAAAGATCTAGCGGTGAAGCATATTTGGAACACGGATCCGTACGAGAAACAGAGGAATCGGAGCACGTCGCCGATTCTGAAGAAACACCGGGCGAAATCGTCGGAATTCGAATCGGAGGTGAAGACTCTGAGTTCGATCCGGCACGTGAACGTGGTGAAGCTGTACTGCAGCATAACGAGCGAGGTTTCGAGCCTGCTGGTGTACGAATACATGCCCAACGGAAGCTTGTGGGACAGGCTTCACACCTCCAGAAAAATGGAGTTGGATTGGGAAACCAGATACGAAATCGCCGTCGGCGCCGCCATGGGATTGGAGTATCTGCACCACTGCTGCGACCGGCCGGTGATCCACCGGGACGTGAAATCCAGTAATATTCTCTTGGACGAGTTCCTCAAGCCCAGAATCGCCGACTTCGGCCTTGCCAAAATTCTCCACTCAACTGGCCTCAACGACACCTCCACTCATGTCATTGCAGGCACCCCGGGTTACATCGCTCCAGGTAACCTGCTCTTCGATTAAACATACCGTAACCCATCAAATCATTTACTTGGTTACATTGTGCTTAAGGATGTCAAACTTATGTTGATATGTTTTGATTTGAGTGCGTTAATTGATTTTTGAGGTTCACCCGTGCAGAGTACGGATACACTTACAAAGTTGACGAGAAGAGTGACGTGTACAGCTTTGGAGTGGTGTTAATGGAGTTGGTGAGTGGGAAAAAAGCGATAGACGCAGAGTTCGGGGAGAACAAGGATATCGTGGAATGGGTATCGAACAATTTGAAGAGCAGAGAAAGTGTATTAAGCTTGGTGGATTCAAGAATCCCAGATGCCTTCAAAGAAGATGTTATAAAAGTACTGAGAATTGCTATTTTGTGCACAGGCAGGTCCCCAACGGTGAGACCCACAATGAGGAGTGTAGTTCAAATGCTTGAAGAAGCCCGACCGTGTAAGCTGGTTGGGATTGTGATTAGCAAAGATGGTGGGGGTGTTAAAAAACAGTTATCTGTGGACATCAACAAGATTAGTCTCTAAATCATGCCCCACTAATTGTGTTTAGTTGCTTGGTGAAGCAGAGTTCAGTTTAAGTTAGGTAGAATGCAAGGAAGGAAGCTAAGATTTAAGTTTTCTCTTGTGTAGATTAAAATTGAAGGGTCCAATGGACTCTTTGTGTAAAGAGTTTTAAACAATTGAGCTATGAAAATTGACACTTATCATTGGATATTTCAAGTAAGATTTAAAACTTTTAAAATATCTATTTTGGCAAGTATCTGCAACGCTATAAATGTGTTCAAAAAATATTTCAAACAAGCTGACCAAAAGTTTGAGTTAAGAATAAGCCAATATGAGTTAATTTTTAATTATTTTTGACAAGTTGGGTCTTTGTTTTAGATTCAGACCATTTCAAAATAGATGCTTAATCCAAGTTTTTATGTTAGTTTTTAAGGATTTTTTGAAACGTGATTTGAGACTAATTTTTACAATTGATTGTAGGAGACACGAGGATTAATGACATCTGATTTTTACCATTTGATAGGTAGAGCATTTGAGATAAAAGTATAAGGGATGGATCGTAAAAGGATGGAATATATGGAATTTACACTTTTGTTATGAAACAAACTATGGTATCGATCACCTAAATTACAAAACTATCATTTTGTATATACACATTAATATTAATTGATTTTTAAATTCCAGAATTCATTTGGAAGGTTATATTTTGAATCCCAATCATTCTTTCCAAAAGATTTGCTAAAATACCAAAAAATCAAAAAATATCCCCAAATCTGTCAAATTTGAAAACCTGAAAAAATATCTCCAAATTCCCCAAATTCGAAAATAGTGATGGTTCGTGTCTTCTTCTCCGTTTGTCGGGATTATTCTTCCAACTGCTTGCGCCTTCTCCGATGATCACCTCGATTTCGTCTGCTCCTCCATTCGTCTGCTTCGTCTGTCTCAGAGGCTTCGCATCCGTCGCAGAGTTGTCCGTTTATATCCGCTCCTTCGTCTCCAGTCCCCACTTCCGTTTTTCTCCGTCGCTGAAGCAGGTCGTCTCCATTTATCCCGATCGAAAAGTTTGCATTGCAATATATCCTAATATTTCCTAAGGTTGAAAACCTTGTTTTTTTGTACTGTTAAACCATTTTCTTGTACTTTTTTTTTTTGTATATATTCCAATATATCCTGATGTTCATTCCATACCCAAGTAGTATCCAATAGTTGTATATATAGGGTTATATGGGAATATAGTGAGTTTGATCTTAGCATACAAAGCACCATAATAAATTTGTGCATTTCCCTTTTTATGTGTATGTGTAGGGATATATAGGGATATATCTTATAATGGTTGTCTTGCTCTCTTTATCTTTTTGTGTATAGAGATATATTGGGATATATGGGGAAAAAGTACTCGAGCGGAGAGGAACCTGTTGAATCAAATCTGAAATGCGTCCGGGGTGGCTTCCAAAAACAGATGGGAATTTACACATGAAAAGAGATGAAATTGGATACCATTAATAATAATGGTAAATCATGAGAATAAATCTTTTTTTAATGGGTGAATCAAGTTAGTGTTGAAATTTTGTATGGAGCTCACAATAATTAAAGGGATATGATTCAAATCTTTTAAATTTCCAAAAAAAAAAAATAACTATAATAAAAGTAAATATAATAAATAAGTGTAAAATCGATATTATAAAAAAATCCTACATGAAAAGTGTAAAATTTGAAAATTTTAGACATTTGTAGCCACTGGCGAGGAAAGCTCGAAGCTTTTTTTCCCCGTTGTACTAAAATTCGATTCATGAGAGCTCGACGTTTGAAATGTGAAAATTGAAAACTCTTTGAGATCACTCCACCCTCTAGACAATGGCTTTCAAACCAAGATCAAATGATTTTCTTTTTCTTTCAAGGCAGCTATTGGTTCCTTACCTGTTATTCTAACATCTTGTATGATTGTAGGGATGACTTTGCCTCCCCGGAAGAAAAAGCGTTTCAATTAGTTCCAAGAAAGCATGCATTCACATCAACGAATCTCGATTTTTTAGTGGTTTGGTCAGGTGAGAGGGTGTCGACTAGGTGGACTCATAGTATCTCTCTAGATTTGATAAAATCGAGCTTCTCGTTGTCAAATAAAAAATGGGGGTTTAAGAAG